CAGAAGGATCCCCACTGCTTCTGTACCTGAACTTTGACTGGAAAAGCAAAATTCGCCCAATGAAGTCAACAGCAAAATTAAAGTTTGTTTGCAGTAACAGAATGCTTTCTGTCTCTGCAAGAGAAGGGATTACCTGCTCTGTGCTGAAGTTTAGCTCTTTCCATACCATTGCCTCACCATCAAACACCCGCTGGCCTACTGCAACATAATGGAACTGCCTCAGCTGATAGAAGAAATTCCTCAGACTGCCAGGACTCCAGGTCCCAAGAATGCTGAAGATACTTTCTAACATAATATCAGCGGCAATTTTCTTCCCCTCCACCAGTTCTTTGTATTTATCAGAACTAATTTTCTGATGCAAGTTTTTCTTCGTGTAAGGCTTTGCACACACGATGTCATCGTACTGGTGCCACTCTAGAACAGCAACACAAGGAGAACACAGGAAAACAACCATTGCAATCAGGTGCCTTCTCCCTTCCAGCTGCCACAGCAATACCCCCAGCAGCCCACTGAGCTGCCAGCTTCAGTTAGGGCTGCCTGCCAGGAATGCTGGGCCATAGGACAGCAGGGATCACCCCAAGGCGCAGGTCCAGCCAACAGAGCTCACCTCCATTTTGGAGGAGTCCACTCTTTATCAATAAGCAGCGATTCACAGGATTATGGGATACTGAATTCTTGTAAATGAACTCATACTCCCCATTCCCACAGGTCACCCAGTAGTTGTAAGGAATGTATTTATCCAGGATTTTTCTGCTGAGAGTTACAGCACCTTCAATGAGGTATCCATGTTCTCCCAGATGCCTTGGAAACACAAACACAGCAAAGGCAGGCAAAGGACACGTTAGCTGATCTACCAACCTCCTTTTCCATGCATTGCTCCATTCTTAACAGGAATGGTGACTGTTCTTTCACACAAACACTTTAGAACAGTTTTCTCCACCGTGAAACCCTTTGCTGCAACCCCCGGCTGTGGGCACAGAGCCACCCCTTGCACAGTGGCTGAGGCCCCAGAGGGACCCTGTTCTCACAGCAGGGAACACTCACCGGGTGCAGTTCAACTCACAGATGTTGTCCTTCCAGTCAGCATAGGAAGGGATGTCCTGAGCCCTGATGAACACTTTATGGGTACTGGGGTTGAGCTTGAAGTCTTTGGATAATATTGCATGGAAATGCACTGTAACACCCTCATTGCGGCTCACAGAACTGCAGGAAAGGATTGGAAGGGAAATAGAAGAGATTTTGTCAGGGTTTTTTAATTGCACAATTCACTGTAGACCTCAAATCAGACTTGATTTGAGACCAGCTGAGTGGCTGCAAGATCCATAAACTCTGGCAGCAGTTCACTCAGACTGATGTTTGAGCAGGCCTAGTGCAAAGCCCAGTGCAAAAAGGCCAGAGCAGGAGATGCTCTGGCCCAGCAGAGTCACCTGGAATGGCCACACTTTCCACCCCTTCCAGCTCATACACATTAAGCAGAACATCAAAACAGCTCTTCACACTATTCACCTGAAGCATTTTGTGTGTGAAGCATATGGTGCTCTTTAGAGCAAGAAGTAAGAGAATAATCTCTTTTTTATCCATCAGATGCTCAAGCAGGTTCAACACATCACCTAGGACAGCACAGGACCTGTGCTGGGGCTCCCATTCAACACTGGTTCTGTCGTGCACAACCACCTCACCTCAGTTTCAAGACAACTCCATTTCCACATAGCCAAGGTACATACTGACCCAGTCCCAGCACCTCAGTTTAGAGTCCTGAGTCCTCCTCACAGCAACTCCCATTAGGGAAGAACGCTGGGAGCAGTAGGGCTGTTCTCACCTTTCTTTAACCTTTTCCACAGGTTTATGGTTCCTTTGTTCCTTTTTGTTCTTGGGGCTGTCTGCTGCAGCCACAGCACCCTCCTTTCTGGCAGCCTCTGCTCCTTGGCTCCAACTTGTCTTCTCACTCATGTTGGGCATTTTCGCACATGGGGTCAGATTTTTCTCTTTTGTGTTTGCATGCTGCAACAGGGAGAGAAACAATGCCCAATGAAACAGGAGACCCTGGAAGCACACCATCTCCTCCTGGTGTGTTGGCAATTGAAAGATGGCAAGAAGCCATTTATTGTTTCTACAATTCCATTTATATACTCTTACAGCTTTAGGTAAAATTTTTCACTGCTAAGCAATAACCACATTATTCACATTTCTTAGCTACACTGCTTAACCACAGTCTTGTACCTGCAGTCTTGCATGACTTCCTTTAAACAAAGCAACTTTCCTTTTGGTTTCCTCCCTTACATTTCTGTTTGATGTTCCCAGGGCTTCTGGCCCACCAGAGTCAAGATGTCCACATCACCCATCAGCTGGGCAGTACTTTCTGCTCTTCTGCCCATCTGCCCCCCAGCACTGGTGCACCACCAGCTTCACCCTCCTGGAAGCACTGATCCCTCACTGAGGGAAGCCGCTGGCTAAGGAAAACAGCTCATGATGGAAGAGAAGCCCAACCCAAACACACTGCCACACAGTCAGCTCAGTGAGCCCCAGGATGGAGCATAAAGAAAGTGAAAGAGAAACCACAGCAACTTACAGCTTACCAGGCCTGTGTATGAACAGAGCACAGGCACCTGCAAAACACAAAATCCCTTTGTACAAGGGGATCCCAGAGCTCTCCAGACAGTAAGGCTGGCTGGAGAAGAGACACCTGCCAGTCCTGGGGGCATCTGAGCCACCCCTCAGTGAAAGCTGGGCTAGAACTGACACCTAGGAGTACAGAATTCAAATTAGAGCCTCCCCATAGTTGTCCCCAGTTCACCCCTGCATGCCTGGGCTGGTGCTCCTCAGCCTCACTGACAGCACAAGCAAGTCACACTGACAAAGGGAAGCTGTGCCCACTGGGACACTCACCAGAGCTCACTCACACTCACCTTGACAGTGGAACTGGTCCCTTCCTGCCTGGGCTCCTTCCCAGCCTGCGGGCTCTGAGCCCCAGGGGAGGTCTTGGTTTCAGGCTTGCTTTGGGGGACTTCCTTGGCAGGAGGCAGCCCAAAGGAACTCGCTTCCTGCTCTGCTGACAGCAGCTCCTTGCTGCTGCCCCAGGCCTGGGAACCTGCTGTGGCTGCTGGCAGCTGGTCAAGGGCACCGCTGCCCCATTCCACATTACCCCTGGCTGTTCCATCCCCCACCTTGTTCCTTGGGACTGCGGCCCTGGCTATGCTGCTCTGCTCTGCAAGGCTCAGCATTTCTGCTTCCGGGCTGCCAGCTTCCTTCCCCACGTGTGCCAAATTCCTGTTGCCTTCAGGTGCATCTCCACTGGCACCAGTGCATCCATCAGCACCTGGGTTTGCTCCCTCACAGCCGGGGTGTTGGATTTCCTGAGGAACAACATAGGTGTCAGGCAACTCTCTGGTTTGAGGAGGCAGAGTGTCCTGTCCCCCAGAGATGGACGTATATTTCTTTGCTTTACTCTTGTTCTCTTTCTATTAAAAAAAGAAAAACAAAGACCACAATGTCTTTTTATTCACGGCCAAAGGGAAACTCTGTCACCTCCTCCATTGCAGCAAGTGCCAACATCTTCCTGCTACACAGCGCTAACAGAGAACGACCAGGAAGAGGAGGGACAAGACCAGCCAGTGAAATGCAAGTAAGTCTTGAGAACTGTGCAGGTTTAATATTCAAGATTTGCTCAGCAGGAGCACAGAGCAGTGCAGCAGTGTCTAAGCTGACTCATGTAATTTGTGGTTTCCCCCTCCCGGCACCGCAGCTCCACATGCACAACACAGCCTCAGCAAACATAGCAAGCTTCTCCTGGAGGAAGCCAGGCAGCAGCTCCCTGACATGGCCAAAGGGATGTGGGGGATGCAGCCTGGCCTCCTCACTTCTAGCGAGAGAGCAATAAGTCACAGCTGCTCCCCAGCACCCAGCAGGATCCACACCTTCTTCAGCAGAGGAACCACTTCAGCAGAGTCACCAGCTCCACGATGAGCTGAGGGCTCTGCATTGTCCTCTGAAGCTGTGACATACTCCTTTTCCTCCTCCCATGTCTCAGCAGAGCTGGGAGATCCACCTGCAGTGTCGGAGGTGTTGGGCAGAGCTCTTGCTCCATCCATCAGCGACTTCCCCTCTGTCTCCTTTTTTTTAAGTGGTGGAAGGAGGCCCAGCAGCACCTTCTCCCTTCACCTCTTCCTCTGCATCAGGGACTGCAGGGACCTGCAACTCTCTTCTCTCTGCAAAGGAGGGAAATTAATCGTTAAACTGGAAACTCACCCCCCAGTGGAGTCGCAGGATGGTTTGGGTTGGAAGGGACTTTAAAGCTCATCTCATTCCACCCCTGCCACAGGCAGGGGCACCTTGCACTGGACCAGGTCACTCCAAGCCCCTGGATGGGGGAGAGCATCAGAAAAAAAGGCAAAACTTGTGGGTTGAGATAAACACAGTTGAATAGGACAGAAAAGAAAATTACAGTAACCATAAAGGAATATCCAAAGCCCGTGATGCACAGGGTGCTTGCTCACCACCCTCTGAGCAATGCCCAGCCAGCCCCTGAGCAGTGGCCCTCATCCCTCAGCCAAATCACCCCAGTGCTTCCTTCAGCACCATGCCCTGTGCTCTGCAACATCCCTCTGGGCACCGGGGCAGCTCTCCTGGCTCTGCCCCGTCCCAGCTCCTCGCTGCCCGGGCAGCCTGGGAGCCTGAGAAGTCCTTGGCTTCATGTAAGCACTGCTCAGCAGCAGCTGAGCCATCAGGCAGTTATCAAGAGCAGCCTCATCCTGAACTCAAACACAGCTCTGAACCCGCTCCTGGAAACAAGAAACTCTGTCCCAGCTGAAGTCCAGACATGAACACACAGGAGCTGTTTGTTGTCCCCAGTTCAGCTCCCACCAGCAATGCTACCACTCTCCCTATACAGCTTCCTGCACTCTCAAAGGCTCTGCCAGCTGCAGAATAATTAAGGAACCACAACACCAAGGTAGAGCTCCATCCCTGTCCCTCCTGCAGACACAAATGCAGCAGCAGTGCTGGCAACCAGCTGCCTGTGCCAGTGCCTGGAGCCCAGGAAAAGCAGTGACAGGACAGTGGAACATCCCAGCTGGCACAGCCTTCTGTGACCGCTCCAGCTCAGCTGATGCCTTTCCAGGAAGGCCGAGGAAAACTCCCTTTTTATCTTCAC